GACTGGAGTTGGAAACACGCACTTTTTAACCATTCGGCTATACACGCTTTGGAAGCCGAGCCTCTACACACGCTGCACGACCCGCCACTTTCGGTCAGGACGTGCGCGGACGTGAAGCGTGCGACAGCAATAGGCGGTGGGGGAGGAATGCGGGGCACAGGCTTGGGGACACCTTCCGAGTCGCTGCTGGCGGATCAACCTGACTGTTGCGTCTTGACGATCCTGAATCATGTCAGAACGCCATTCCTGGGACTTCAACACCGCGAGTCAACGTAATTGTTGCGCCCTCATAGCCCTGAATCATTCCCAAGCGCAATCTCTGGTACGCTGATCATGGGAATCCGTGACACTCTTGTAAAGTTAAGGAAAGAATGTTCGCAGCGCTAAGGGCGAGAGCCACATTTTGAAAAGGAACCGTCTTCAATCCGTGAAACCCTTGCAGTGATTTAGAACGAATGTACGCGGCGCTAAGGCGAGAGCCACATTTTGAAAACAGGTCGCCCTCAATGCGTGAAATTCTTGCAATGTTTAGAAAGTGCACGGCGCTAAAACGAGAGCCACATTTTGAAAACCACCTGCCCTCCATCTTTGAAGCTGTTGCCAATTTTTAGGCTTCAGGGTCATTAGTGGTGAGAAAGTCTCGGGTGAAACGCCCGGCCCGCCCTAAAAACAAGCTTCGGGGTGCGACAGGGAAAAGCTTTTTTGTTCTCCTATCAGTGCTTGCACTGAAGGGGTCCTAGCGGATATTGAAGGATGTGGCGAAAGTTCCGGGCCGATTTTGGTAGGCGGCAGGGTTCCCTGTTCCGGTTCCCGGGTTCCGGGTTCCGGGTTCTGGGCCGATTTCGGTGGGCGGCGGGGTTCCCGGGTTCCCGGGTTCCCGGGTTCGGGTTCCTGGGCGATCTTCTTATCCATCGGTCTCACCATCAATCTCATTATCACCTTATTATCGATCTCATTATCGATCTCACAATCGATCTCACTATCGATCTCACAGTCGATCTCACGATAGACCGCACGATCGATCTCACGATTGATCTCACTATCGATCTCATTGAATCGACTTCACTATCGTCCTCACAATCGACCTTACAATCATCCTCACTTTCGATCCCACTACCGATCTCACAATCGATTTCAATATCCATATCACTGATTCTCAAATTATCCACTTATTGAGGTTTCTCTCTAGTGTAATAAGGAAATTGAATGCATAGGCAGGAGGAGGGCGAGCAGAAAGGCCAGAGGCCTCTTGGATGCCTCTTGGGGCGTTTAGGGGGACTCTTGGCAGTCCCAGGAGCCTCTTGGGGCGTCTTGGGTGCCTTTCGGGGGCCTCTTGGGGCCTCTTGAGGGTCTTAGGAGCCTCTTCGGGGCATCTTGGGAGCCTCTTGGGGCCATCTTGGGGCACCTTCGGGAGCCTCGGGGGCCATCTTGGGGCCATCTAGGAAGAGATGGATCAACGGAGGGGACTCCTTAATTAGGGTCCCTCCCCAGGAGGTCAATACGTGGCCAACACCTTGGTGAAATCAGTGGCTTTGGCCTTCTCGCCGAGGCCTCTTGGGGCGTCTTGGCTGCCTCTGGGGGGCCTCCGGGGGCCTCTTGGGGGTCTCTTGAGAGCCTCGTGGGGGCATCTTGGGGCCATCTTAGGGGCATCATGGGTCGTCCTGGGTACCTCTTGGTGTCGTCTTTGGGCACACTTGGGAGCCTCGGGGGCCATCCAGGGGCTATCTTGGCAGATATCGATCGAGTGAGGAAGAGAGAGAGAGAGAGAGAGAGAAGCAGCCATACGCAAGCGCGCGTGGGCAAGACAATTGGCGAGCGTGCGAGCTACGCCAAACGCGTTAGCTGGCGGACAGGAGGCGCCAAACGCGCGACAAGACAGACAGCTACGACGCGCCAAATGCGCGCCGGGAGGATGAGGAGAGGAGGAAGATGACGACGATGTGTGCTTCAGCCAGGGCGCACAGGCAATGCCATTCTCATTCAATGAATTTCTCTTCTGCGTTACTGGCGTCCTTTACGAAATTGAACACGAACGATCTCCAACGTATCGGGTCTACCACTGCTGCCACGAAAGATTCCACTGTCTCAAAGTGGGGTCTCACAAGTTTATGTAATTCAGCCGCCCACTCCTGTTTGGGCCGCCCCTGCTTGCGCTCGCAAGCCCGCGTCGCGGGGAAGACGGTGTCTGGCTGGAACGTTGGCTTCCGCAAAACATGATCGTTGGGATACTGACCAATTTTCCCAAAGAGTAATAGCTGTTGTTTCAACAATTGGGAACTGTACGGCGCTTGCTCGCTCTTTTGCAAAACGAACTTGTTGGAGACTCTGGATATGAATGCCGGAGGTATGTGTAAAATCTGTCTGATACACCTGTCCTGGAAGCCGTCCAACCGCTTCCTGTCAGCTCTGGTAAGCCACGCAGAACTGAGGGAGTACATGACCTTACAGGTGATCATCGCGTCGAAGATCATCAGCTTTCTCTTGGCACCGATCGAAGCGTGTTTCCAAATTTTACAATACCTTGAGAACTCGCCCCACGCCGTCCCCAATCTTCGATTGAGCTCCCCAGATATTCTGCCAGTGTTGCTAATTGTAGCTCCCAGGTAGACAAGGCGATCTTGTGGCTGTATAAGAGCTCCAGAGGGCGAGTATAATTCTATGTCGTTCTGCACATGCAACACTTGGAATTTGTCCCAATGTAATTCCATGCCCGCTTTTCCTCCAGCAGTGGCGATTGCGTTCAGCAGCTCTTGCATGTGCTCTTGGTGCTTTCCAAAGATCAGAGTGTCGTCCGCGTACAATAAGACCGATACATTTCCATGTTCAAACGCTGTCTTGGCCGAGTCGCTCAACGTCGCGGATGCGTCTTGTATTATCACTGTCATCACCATTACAAATAAAAACGGGGACAAGGGGCACCCTTGCGCGATGCCAGACATCTGCCGCCTCTCGCGCGACCTCTGACCCCCATCGGCCACGCAGAAGCTCCTGTCGGTGTAAATGCTCTTGGTTATTGCGAGAAGCCGAGCAGGGAGCCCAAACCTCTGCAGCAATACAAAGATAGCTTCCACATTAATCGAATCGAATGCTTTTTTCCAGTCTAGCGCAACGAAAGTGGCCCCTGACTTTTTCCCGGCGTTTGCTAATTCAATGTACTTGCGGACCACGTGGATAGCGTCTGTCGTGCCCCGTCCTCGGCAGAAACCAAATTGAGTAACAGCCAGCCGATCTTCTGCCCCAGCGTCCTGTAGTCGCCGCAATAACAAACTTACCACCACTTTGTACGCTACGCACAATAAGCTGATCGGCCTGTAATTGTCGCAGAGGTGCACTGGCCCTTTGCTTTTGTAAATCGTAGTAACCAAAGAATGCCGCCAAGCTCGCGGAACCGACTCTTCTAATCAGCATGCGTTGCATAATTTTGTGAGCCATTGTAACCCCCCGGGCGTTTGGGCAATTGCTTTCCAATACTCCGCCGGGATACCGTCTGGCCCGCCTGCCTTGTCCCATTTCAATGTTTGCACCACTTTTCCAACTTCCTGAATAGAGAACTCCCCGTCGTTCACTGGCAGCGTCGGCCCCAAGGGCTCTTGTGATATTATCTCCGCAGGCCGTACTTTCCATTGTACTTTTTCCAAGAATTCTGCCATGGTGTCCGCTCGTTTGTTGCTCTCCACCAACTTCCCGGCCATGTTTTGCAATCTCCCTTGCTTGCGTTGGCGCCCCCGGCAAAAGGCCCGGATAGCATCCCAATTTCCATTAGCAATGTGCTCTTCGGCCCAAGCTGTCTTATGCATTTTGCATGATTGCCGTACTTCTTTTAATAATTGTCTTTCCTCCTGCTTGTCGTCCGCCTGTCGGGCGAGAGTCCGCTTTTCTATCAAGCCAAGTGTGCGTTGACTAATCCACGGCCTTTTTCTTTCCGCGGGATCTGATGGGAGCACGGCTGTCGCAGCTTGGGCTGCTCGCACACCTTTCTCCCACAAATCCTCTATGGATTCTGGGCAGCCGGGGAAATCTTCCAATGTTTCAATGAATGCTTCAGCGTATTGTATTCGTAGCGTTTGGTCCCGGAGCGCCTCTCGGGCAGCACCTGGGCGCGGTGGTCGCCGAGCCTCCTCCGTGCAAAGTGCCAGCGAACATGTGACGAGATAGTGATCTGTCGCAAGAGGTATTTCCCTGTGGCTTCGCAGACCCCGTATTTGAGCAAATGTGTGGGCATCGCACAGAAGCAAATCCAGGATGTTGTACTGCTCTTCTGTAATGGTCCCGTTGTAAGTAGCGCCAGCCTCCAGAAACGTTATTTTTTCCTCCAGCGGTGTGTCGAAGAACGAATGGGCGACAACCGAATAAAGGCCCATCACAAAATTCGATGAGCAGATCGCGGTTCGGAGCGTCCACTGGCTGCACGGCCTTCCGCCCCCAACCGAAATCCCCAAGAGTGTGCTCTTCTCCGTTGCATGCGCAACCCATTCTTGCATTGAGGTCCCCGAATATGACTTTCCCCACATTTGCGGAGCACGCCCTGTATTCAACATCGAGGTCAGAATAAAATGCAAGCTTGTCTGGGGTAGGCTTCGGATTCGGGGGGGCGTACACGCAGAAAACACCAAAGATGCCATTCATCGTGCGAATCTTGATCCAAGCGGGTCTGTCTGAGACCTGCTTGTACGAGCGGACTCGTGCCCATATTCTCTCTGATATAACAAACCCCACTCCAGTGTACGTTTGCCCGTCCCCTTCTGCACCTGACAGTACCACGACATACCCGTTGAAGTTATAGATGTCTGATTGTTTTGCTCGTGTTTCCGGCAAGCAAAGCACTTGGATATCAAGGCTCTTCATGCGCACCGTAATTTCCACAAGTTTCTCCTCTGTCAAGCCTTTGACGTTCCACGTTGCAATATTGAATTCTGGGTTGTTGTTCTCATGGAGGCTGTTGCTCCTTGAGGGTGAAACTCTTCCTGTGCGCCCCTGGCTGTGTCAATTCGCAGGCTTTCCTTTGCCCGCTCCTTTGGACAGACTGGTCGCGCTCTTGTCCAGCCTGTCGGTTGTCTTCTGCTGTAGCTCTTTCCATTCTGGTGAGTTCTGCAGTTCCTCCCACGTCTCCCAAGAAGTCTCCAGCCAATCCAATTTGAGCTTCTTTCCCACAACTTTTACTCGAAGTATTCCTCTGCCCCCAGCTTTCAGTACCCCGGCGTCGTCGTCGATCTTTAGGAACTTTTTGTCGAAGCCCCACTGCGTGAGCAGGTAGCGGAGGCCGAGAAGCAATGACGTGATGGCACGCTGCTCGATGGGGGCATCCGTGCTGCACCATGCCCGGCGGTTGCCTTCCCGAGGGTTCTGCTCGCCGCACGCCTCTTGGAGGACCGGGAGGGCGTCCAGAGATGCGTTCCCTGATCGGAACTCCGAGAACAACATGCCCTTGAATTGTTCTTCCTGAGGGCCTTTTTTTATAGCTTTTGAGTGGAAGTTCGCAGTGAGCTTCCTGAAGTATGTTAGCAACCCATTGTTCTGCCCCAGTTACGGTTTTACGCGGCAATCCCCCAGAAACAAGTGTCGTGTTATCGTTCTGCCCCTGTGTCGACGATGGTGCGGCTGAGGTGGCGGAGCGTGGTGTGTGCGCATGCATCTTCATCTCGGCGATGCCCTTCTCGATGTCGGCGATGCGCGGAAGGATGTCGTCCCCCACTTGCCTGTCCAACGTCGTGAAGTCATTGAGCAAGATGTCCACGTCCTCCCAGAGCTGCGTCGTCTCGTCCCGGATATCTTCCATACCAGTGTCAACTTTTTGCCGGAAGTCTTGCAAGTCTTGGCTCAAGCGTTGAACTGACTCTGCGACCGGGGCAAGGTACGAATCAAAGAGCGCTTTCATACCCCCCATTGTCACTGGAGCCTGAAGGTCAGCGCATGCTCCGGCCATATTGTCTTCAAACTTCTTCTGCCGCAGCGCTACATCATCGGGGCTCTGCAGCATGGGGCGCTGTGGGCTGTCTCCCATTCGCGCCTGCTTTAACGCACTTTTCTTAGGGGTGAGTGCAAATTCTTCTGGACGCTTCCTCGGCTGCGCAGAGGCCGAAGATGCGTGTCCCGACATGACGGAAATGTATTGAAATATATTGATATAGTTATTCCACAAATGCCAGCACTGCTCACCAGCAGCGGGCCAGCCAGCACTGCTTGCCGAGCAGCGGGCCAGGCGGTGTGACGTATGCAGACTGCGGAGTCGGTAGGACTGCGAGTCGGTAGGGTCCCTCCCCAGGAGGTCAATATGTGGCCAACACCTTGGTGAAATCAGTGGCTTTGGCCTTCTCGCCGAGGCCTCTTGGGGCGTCTTGGCTGCCTCTGTAGGGCCTCCGGGGGCCTCTTAGGGGTCTCTTGAGAGCCTCGTGGGGGCATCTTGGGGCCATCTTAGGGGCATCATGGGTCGTCCTGGGTACCTCTTGGTGTCGTCTTTGGGCACACTTGGGAGCCTCGGGGGCCATCCAGGGGCTATCTTGGCAGATATCGATCGAGTGAGGAGGGCTCCATAATCAGGACCTCCCCACCATGAGGCCAAAATGTGACCAACACCCTAGTAACATCAGTGATTCTATTGCATTAGCCACATCCGCCGACCCCTTGTTTTTTGTGTTCGTGTGTGTGTGTGTGGTTGGTGTGTGTGGTTGGTGTGTGTGTGTGTGTTGGTGTGTGTGTGTGTGTTGGTGTGTGTGTGTGTGTGTGTGTGTGAGGGGGGGGGGGCAGGGTCTCTTGAAAACAGTTTTGAAAGCGCCTGGGGCTCGTTTTGGGGGCCTGTCGGCGCGTCTTCGGGGCCTCTTGGGTGCAATTTGGGGCGTCACGTTGCGCTCCTGGTTTGTGGTGCCGGGTCCTCATCGGCCCAGGAGGGGTCCGAGGCTTCGGTGTCGGCCCAGGGGGATTCTAAAAATTGACGTGCCTGGAGGCCGCCAGTGGGTCGGAGGAGGATTTTTGCGCTGTCCTTTGTTTCCGGGTCTCGAGAGGGGCCCTCGTCGGCACGGATGCAGCCGGTGTGAGAATTCTGGCCTAGGCGCACTGGCAGGACAAAGCCAGGGGTGGATCTATTGCGCCGCTGCAGCGCGAAGAAGATTTCGGGCGGGATGGCTCTGGGTGCATTGGGCATCTGGAGGGTGCCCAAAGGCCTCTCCGAAGGTCTTCGCTCGGACAACACGGTTGTAGCGCCGGAAGGAAACAGGATCGATTGTGTGGACATTCGCGCTCTTTGCGACGTCGCCCGAAGATGCGCGATCCCGAGAAGGGAGATTCGTGGAAGCCGGCGCCATCTATGCCAAAAAGGATATTCGGTGCCACGTGGTGAAGCAGAGAGCCGCGCAGTTGGCGAAGGAGCGAGGGCAGCAGCTGCTCTGGGTCGCAGCCAGCGACCGCCCCTGCCCATGGGGGAACAGAGGCGGCCGTGCAAGGTGGAGGACAAAATGCTGTGGATGGGGTACCACGAGAAGGAGTGCGCAAGCTTGCCGGGGTGGCTTGCAGTGGCGAAAAGCGTGCCCGTTGCCTTGGGCCTTGGGAGATCACTTGGACCAGTCGAAAAGCAACTTCTGTGGGGGTGCACGGCGCCGATTCATGGATGGTTTTGCACGAGGACGAGGTCGTGGGAGATGCAGGCGAGGAGGTCTTATTGCATCTCACCTGAGTCATCGTATTCGATTTTCATACGAAGGATTGGCACCTCCCCGGCTGGGAGCTGGGACTGTATCCGATCTTCCCGTCGAAAGGGCGCCAGTAGTTCTTGGGCGGGTATAGGAAGCATCCAGTTTGGGTGTAAAGCGGGCGCAGTTCATGATGGCGCCGTCGTTGGCATTGACTGCGCACGGCGCGCAGGGGCGGATAATGAAGGCAGTGGTCGCGGATCTTGACAGAGGGCGCGGCGTGAATTGGATGCCCAGTTGCGTTGCCATCGCGCGGGTGCGAAGACGAGGGGGCCTATTTACATTTCGGCCGTTTGATAGGAAACCGCTCAACGAAGGAGAGTGGGGGGAGCGAAGAAGCCGCTGCAAGTGCTCCGAGGAGAGGACGTGGATTGGACAACGTGGGAAACGGAAGTCATGCCACGAGGCCAGCGCGAGCGGTGCCGTTGGAGGTTGCTGGTGGATGCCTCTACGAAATGCGAATTCCAGAGGAAGGATAGGCCAGCGCTTTGCAATTCACTGATGCGCGGATGAGATGAAAAGCGCGGACGAGAAATGGTGCCAAACGTGCGAGGGGTGGGCCGCCACGGCGGGGGGCGATGCACCGACGCGGCGTGGCGGCGATAAGGGCGGCCGGGGGCCAGGCAACGAGCAAGGGGTGAAAAGCGGTTCGTGCCATGTGTTGCGCCTAGTGTAGCCATGCCAAAACGAAGCAGTAGTCGCGCAGTGGCAACCCCAAATGGGACGAAAGCGTCGGCGCAACGCGATGTTCGAACCACGCGTGGCTCTCCTTTCTCGAAGAGATGGTGGATATGTCGGAAGCTCAGAGGATGCGCGGCGCAGCATGGGAGAGACTGCGTCGGCAGTGCGCGGAGGTGCGGGACAAATTGGCGCGAGAAGCAAACAGTCGCAGGCGGAAAGCAGAGGCGGAAGCGGAGCCGCCGAAGTGTTGTGCGCCAGGTTGCGGGGGTGCCCTTCTGGGAGGTCGGACATTCGAACCGCGACCAAGTGGAAGGCCACCAGACGAACAAAGGAACACTAATCGGGCGCGGAGGATGTCGCCACAAGGGCGTTACCGCGAAGGGAGTGGCCGATGCGGCCCAATGGCTCGAGCAAAAATGGACGCGCGTGACGGAGAAGTTTCCGCAGCAGGACCACATAAGCGACAGACAGGAAAGCGATCACTTCTGGAGGAAAAGTAAAGTTGCATGCGCAGACTGCGTGGGCGTTTCACGGCGCGCACTTTGCAAGCGTGCGAGTGCTTCGGCGCCCGCGAGAGGGAATCCCTCAAATTTCGGTTCTTCGTTTGACCGAATTTCGAGTATGCGCGCCAAAGGGGCGCCCTGAAGTGCAAGTCGTGCGCGTGAGACCAGGTGAAGCGCGTGCGGCAGCGCGCGAATTCTCGGGGCCGCAGGGGGGGAACGAGAGGGGGGGGTGAGGAGGTGGAGGAGGGGGGAGAGGCGGGGGAGGAGGAGGAGGAGGAGGAGGACGACGACGACGAAAAAGAGGAGGAACACTTATAATCTGGTTTGCGGGCCGAGCTGAGGCCCAATACGCAAGGTTGCGTTTAGGATCTGGAGGCCGCGTGCAAGCTCCCGGACCGCGAACTGGGATGTGGGTCGGAGGCCACTCGGATGGCTGTTGGCGTCTCGTGCGAGACTTTTCGGGAGCGTCTTGGAACCAGTTGTTTTGGCCTGTCGGGGGCCTCCTGAGGAGCTCGGAGACTTCTTTGTTGCTCTCCTGGAGTTCCTTGGGGGCCCCCGGGGGCCTCTTGGTGGGTTTCTTGGGCCACCTGGGGGCGTTTTGGCGCGGACTGGTCGAAATTTCCGATCGGGTCCTGCCTCGAGGCGATTTCTGGGGGCCGTCCTAGTAGGGCCTTCTTGGGCCGTCCTGGGGAATTCTAAGGGCCGTTTTGGGATTTTCTTTGGCCGTGTTTTTTTTGTAGTTTGCCATGTTGGGGCCCTCGTTGGGGCTTCCTGGGATGTTTTGGACGTAGCGAAGGCCGCAGAACCGAATCTGCGAGTCTAAATTTCTTCGCAGAGGAATGGGACGATTCTTGTTTCGTGGGGCTCTGTTTGGGAGATTGTTGGAGGCCTCTTGGGGCATCTTGGAGGCATCCTGGGCCACCTGGACGCCATCGTGGGCGTTTTGGAACGATATTTCGGCGATTCGGGGCTTTCGTGGATTGTCATGAAGATTTTTTGGGAGCACTCCGAGACTGTTTCGGCGCTCCAAAAAGGGGGCCCGAGGAGGACGGGACCCCCCGGATGAGTTCGGGGGCGGGTCGCATGCGGCTGGGGGGGTGTCAAATTCACACCTTTGGGTCCCTGGGGGGGATGATGGGGGGGCAAAGCCTCACACGCTTGGAAGCCCACATCACTGTTTGTGGCCATCTCGCCGACGCCTCTTGGGGCGTCTTGGGTGCCTCTGGGGGGCGTCTTGGGGCCTCTTGGGGGTCTCTTGGGAGCCTCTTCGGGGCATCTTGGGGGCCTCTTGGGGGCCTCTTGGGGCGTCCTGGGCACCTCTTGGGGCCGTCTTGGGGCACCCGTGGGAGCCTCGGGGGCCATCTTGGGACCATTTAGGAGGCGATCGATCACAGGAGGGGGGCTCCTTAATTTGGGTCCCTCCCCTAGGAGGCCAACATGTGGACAACCCCTGGGTATTATCGGTGATTCTGGCCTTCTCGCCGAGGCCTCTTGGGGCGTCTTGAGTGCCTCCGTGGGGCCTCTTGGGGGTCTCTTGGGAGCCTCTTGTGGGATCTTGGGGTCCTCTTGGAGCCTCCTGCTGAGCACCTCTAGGGACCGTCTTGGGGCACCCTGGGGAGCCTCGGGGAGCATGTTGGAGGAGATTGATCAACGCAGGGGAGCTCCCTAATTAGCCCCCCCCCCAGGAGGCCAAAATATGGCCAACACCTTCGGAAAATCAATGATTTTGGCCTTCTCGCCGAGGCCATCTTGGACGCAGAAACGCCCCCCGACCCCCCTTCCAGGTCGAGGGGTAGGGGGTAGGGGGAGGGGTCAAGACGCCCTCCCGCCCGCAAGCTGTCTCGCTCACTCCCACCCGCCCTTCAAATACATAAGTAGCACCCGAGCCGCAGCGTGTTCAGCGGTAGTATTTGGATGGACAGGTAATTGGAACCACAGAAGGCTCCATGTGCGCAACGCTGGGGCGAGGTGCGCCAGGCGTGCCAGGCGCGCCACGCGCGCCAAGTGCGCCCGGCACCCCTCTGGAACAAGCGTAGTGGGCACGCCTAGTGCGCCAGATGGGCCACGTGATCCACGTGCGCTATACATGCCGCATGCTCC